GTGCCATCTAGGTAACAAGGGCGGTCTGAATTGCCAATGCCAGTGTAACCAAACCCTGCCATTAGGCATCAACGTCCAATAGGGTTGGAAGGTACTACACATCACGAAATGGCAAAGCGCAATGAGATGTACTTTGTCAATACCCTTGCTAAGGCACTATTATGGTGGCGCCATTCTGTCGCTTTGAAACGGAAGAGCATTGCGATCATAACGGATATTCGTAATGAAAGGAGTTTTAATAAGACCATTTCCGGTTTTGATATGCGATGCATCATTCCGCCTTTGTGCAGATGTTCTCAGCTACAGTTTGCAATAATCAATGTATATAAAATATAAAAATAAAAAAATCGAAATTCCACATTATAATATATATTGCAGTTCAGAACCATACGATGTTTGATCTGATCCTATGGTTAGTTAACTTCATAAAAAGGAGAACGATACTAAATTTTACAATAAACTAATTAAAAATTATTTTTCTACACATCATTTTTCTGGTCACCTCATTTTTTAGTCGTTCAACGTGAACAAAACGTTCAAGTAGGATTGTAGCAATGTTAAACACATTTACCCGGCTCTCTCATTTGGGAATTGCATTCCAAACCAACCTAGGATATACTTCCCAAATCAGAGAAGTATGAACAAAATTACCTGCCAGGAAAACCAAAATTACTATTTTTTTAAGACATTACCGATTCAGAGACATTATGAATGAGTCGTTAAATTTGTCTCATTTCTAGAGATCTTTCTTTATATATTGGATTAGATTGTAAATGTATAGCTAAAGTTTAAACAGGTTAGTTGGGGTATCTGCCATCTGAATATTCAAAAGCCTCCGTTCATAGAGTCGATCCATAACAGGCGCGGAAGGAGGCATGACGCTTTGTGCTTCTTCGTCCGAACTTCCTCTTCGAATTATGTTCTTCGGCGGTTTCGCAACTCTTCGAGGTCTCCCTAAACGGCATCTTCCGCATTTAGGAGAGCAATTTAGATTTGGCAATGCGGAGCATAAAGGAACTGATGTATGACTAGGATGGTAGTTTTGATAGTATATGTAAGCACACTTAATACATTTGCAGGATTATTTGCAATTTTTATCAGGAATATAAAATATTAATAAATGTATCTATTTTGTTACAGACGCAGATAATTCCACATTCGTATTAATTATTGTGAGGTAAGTAATGACTTTTATTAACATTTATTAGTGAAAGTACTTGAGGAACTCTAGAAATTTTCAAACAATATTCAACTCATCCAAAAACCATGACAAATAAAATGAAAAACAACATAAATATAGGTTTTAATATGCTAATAAAATAGACAATGTATTTAGAATTAGCATTAAATATACTTCAATATTATATTCTGTCAGCAATTATAATTGTTATTGGAAAAGCATTAAAAAAATAAAATAAATAAATAAATAACCTCTACCACTACAACACATGAAGGGTCTTTTGTCTCGTTTACGTTCGCTTGACGAACAAGTATTTGACCATTTCTTTACTTTAAAGTTTTGTGATTCTAGTGTTTGAAAGTCGGTGTTTTTAGAATAGTACAAGATCCTCATTTAATTGGAAAACGCTGTATTATATTGGACGAGAATTGAGTACTTCCAATTTCTTTATATTTGGCAAAAGTGTTCTTTGAAGGCAGGGATTACCCATGAGCTATAGATTTTAATAATTTCATTCCAACCCAGGATGGCTTCTTACCTTCGAAAATCTGTTTTCAATCACGATTAAATAAATAGTTCGATTCCCATTCCGATTTGAGACTTTTTACAATTTTTTTTATCGATGAGTTGTAATGTATTATGTATCGTTTGTTCACAAAAAGTAAAATTTCCATAAAAGTAACTTAATACTTGCACACACAATAATAGTGAAAGAGACAGTTGGGTTCAGTACCTAGCAATGCAATACAACGTCAAAATTACAATAAAACCGAATAAAAAAGTATCGAATCTAAATAAAAGTAGGTTAAGCATAAGAAGGTCCTTGTAATCGATTGTATAAGGTAAATAGGAGAATAAATATGAAGCGGAGTGGACATCTAGGTCAATTACATAAATGCATCATTAGACAATATTCAGGTCTTACTAAACCGGATTTGATAACGTAAATACTTATTCATTTACAATTAATGTTTGCGATACTTGATATTAATAATGTACGACTTCATTTAGAGAAAAAAAAAAACTAATGAACAAGAAAAAAAACTCTACTTTAATCAGCTGACTGTACATAAATGGAAATCCACGTAAGGACGGTTGATTTTAGCTAGTAATGCCGACGGCAGAAACTTAACGACTTTCTTGGTTGTTTGAGTTGGACCTGCAATAAAGGAAAATGGAAGGACTCTCGTTAGGGGGATGAAGGTGCTATTTCACAATTGAACGCTTTTTTCAACAATCCCGTGAAAATTAGGGCTAGTTTTTCCTCAGGCCAGGAAAGTTTTTTTCACGGCCGGTATTTGCAAAGCTTATTGCCGAATCAGTGTGGAAGGAGAATTAGAATTCAATATTAAGTGGAACTTTTCGATTCCAATATAAAAAAAAAAGTTTTATGTTTTCTTTATTAAGGACACAGCCAATTTTTTTTAAATATATCTATCTATAAGCAAATAATATTGATAAATTGTGTAATCCGTTACCATAACGGAAATTTGTACCTAATTCAAAAGAATAACAGATGATAACAGTAATAATTAAAGAAAAAATGACATATCTATGGCAAAATAATGAAGTTAAGGATAAAATAACAAATACTGCAAAGATTACAAAAAATAATGAAATAAAAAATTAAATAACATTTTGGTTTATTTATAATAAAAAGGAATAATAACTGAAAACTGATAATAATAACTGTGACCCCTCCTCTGCCTAACTCACGCATACATGACATGAATCAAGCAAGGTGATCTCAGTAGCAAAAAATTCAAAATTTGTTTTTCGAAGAAGTAATCTAGAGGCGGCGAAGCCAATGCATATTTTCAAGCCCTCCCATATAAAAATGCTGTTGATGGAAAGCAACACGGTAGATTATGCTGGAATTAACCGCAATCCATTTCCCTATAAGTGATACCTGCTACCTGCATACCTGCCATAAGTGACTTGCAGTTGTGCATTCCATAAAATTCATTTTTGGGTGAATTCTCATTAAATATTTAATATAATAGCTTAATTTTAATCATATATTATACATTGATTATTATTCAATAATTAATTAAGAATTAAATACCTAATCTTAATAGGGTTGCGATACTTAAATACCTACAGTTAATAGGGTTGCGATGGATATGCAGCATAATACACTTGCAAAAGGTAATTAAAGTTGAAAAATGTCGAGCGTGGTAAGTACCTTGGATGGGTGACCATCCACCGGGGAAAGCCACTCTGTTCGAGGTTTCCCTTCCCAGGTAAGTAAGACTTTGTTCCTGAAGGTAACTCACACAGACCATCAGTAACCCTCCACTCCGAGGTTTGGTCTGTGGACAGTCTTCTTCTGGAAAGGAAATATAGACTTTCGTGCACCTGCTGACTCTAAGCAGCCACAAATCATGGATCTACAGAGCTTTGTCACTGTCCTTGAACTGGAGTGAGTCGGTCGCAAGGACAGCTAGGTTGGCAACAAAGGGATTGGAGCCTTAACTATGGAGATATGAGTGTCCTGCCGCTGCAATATTGGGACCATGGTCCGTAGCTATGTGATCTTGAGTGACCCCCTCCTGGCTATGGGTGTTCTCTTAAGCAATATATATATATATATATATATATATATATATATATATATATATATATATATATCGATAATAAGCAATATATATCGATAGCAAGCAATATATATCGATAAGAAGACCACATCGGGCTGCCAAACATCTGCATGGCATTAGAAAGTGCCATTAGAAAAAACGCTGCAAATTATTTCACAATTGTTTCCAATTCAAAATTCAAAAACCAAAACAAAGGATATAATCTCTGCAGTTGGACATATTAAAAGCTTAAGACCACAGCTTCTAATTGTCCGATTTTTTTTTTGTTTTTTTAGGAAATTCCATAAATTTTTAAACAACCATTCACAAAAAGTGTATTTTTAACTATTCGGAATTTAATTTTACCACCCCTTGTAACTTTGTTTCCAGCTTCTGTCCATTGACGTATGTTATATAGATAAATTTAAAGAGCGTCGAGAAAATTACTTTAGCGAAGTTTCATTAAAATCGGTACATTCGTTTAGGCGCTACAGTCTATAGCAACGCAGGTTTTTCGGCCGCCATTTTAAAATTAATAGGCGGATAGTAATGTCGATGAAGGAGGATCATCCTCGAGTGACCTATGATTTTATATCCAAATTTGAAAAAAATCGGTCCAGTAGCTTCGGAGAAAATGCGCGGACGGCGGAAGGACCAAAAACTTTTTTTTTCGTTTTTCCAAATCTACGTATCCTGGAACGTAAAACCTCAAATTTTGAAAGGAGGTTAAGTTTTTTAATTTTTTGGTCGCAATGGTTCATTATTGAAAATAACATTTTATTTTTTCCCATACTCTCCGATAACACCGACTAAATATTTACATATAATATAAGATAACAATTTAATGATATAATTATCCATTTATTCGAACAAGTTTTGTAATCAATATTGCACGAAGAGGATGACAAGGTAAAACACAAAAAGTAAGTTTCGAAATCGGTAGAATATATCACTTTCCAGGTATAAGATTAATACTATTAAAACGTGAAAAATAGTACCCTCTTCAATCAAGGTTGTACCATGGTTTCATTAGGTATACAGAAATACCCGAATGCGAATAGAGCTCGCTTTGAATAAAATATAAGGTTAGGATACGAACTGGATTGAAACCACTAAAATTAAATATAATTGGAGTTAATAATATCCTAGCAGAAGGTGCCATTCAGAAGCAATTGGGTTAACTGGCCTTCGATAAATAAACGACTTAACTAGTATTTAATTCCAACAATGAGGAGGACGCGCTGATGGAATGGAATCTAACTATTCCTAGACTAACGCAGTGCAATGACCAAAAGAATGTCCTTTCTCAGGAGGTCGTCTCTGCGGTAATGGATCGTTTATTTCCGCCTCCGGAAACTTCTTGGATTCGTGACATCCCCGCTGCTCACAATAATAGACGAGGATACGATGATTTGCCAACCATTAGTAACTTTAATATCAGTTCAGCGTGAAAAATTATTTTAGCAACCGTTTAGCAAGTAATATTTAACTTTAGACCTTAATCGCTGGTAATTAGATCGAGTGGCGACATGAACCATTGTCGAAACAGTGCAATTACGCATTGCTGAAACTTCGGTGAAAACTAATGGTTTTATTTTTTTGTTTTCGATAGTTATATAAATAAACATAAACAGAATAAATATAATTCTGCTTTAAGATAATACATAATAGCTTAAAAAGATATTGAATGATTTAGAGATGTAAAAAAAATAGTAAATTAATTAATTTTAGAATTAAAAACCTTACGAACTATGAAAAAATGGTTTCCAAATAGTTAGTTATTTACCAAATATGTGTATTTATGTATGAGATATATCAACACATATATTTATACCAATTATTTGCATTGTTGTACTGTAAAAAATAGCGTTTTGTTTTTAACTGTCTGTTCTCTCCTTCCTCGCCTTTAAGGCTATACGGGGTTTTCCCGGGCCAGAGGATGAGGACGGGGATTAATGGGAGAGTTTAAAGCCCCCCCTCGGCACCGGGACGCGAACTCGTAACTATTTTATTATTTACAAAACTGATGTTATCACAGTGCTGGGAACGCGCCACCCCTCTCCCCAAAAATCACCGGTTACTATTGGAACACTAACTGAAAAAAAAAAAGTTTAAACGAAACGAAAATACTCGGTTTTCGTTTAAACCTGGCGGTTATTTATTTCCCTAATTCAAACCCTAATGGCAACGAGGGATAATTTACCTCGAAAGAACAGACCGGATGAAGGACCGCTCAATTCGGGACATAGTAATTGTTTTAACAGTAATGGATGTCTATCGTATTAGGGAGGATTAGATTGAGACTTGGGCGGGGCCACGATATAAAGCTAATGGTGCTCTATTGGTCGCTGATAAAGTAGAAGCCGTTCGTCTATTGGTTCACTGCCTTACAGCCGACTGTGATTGGTTAATTAGTCCGAGCACTACATAGCTGTCAGAGCCTGATTGGTGGACAGCCCAATCACTTCTATGGTCTGAGCTTTGGTTGGCCTAGTTAGTGTAGGAAAATCTTGGATGTCATCCATCGATCTTTCACAGCGAACCATCCACTCCTGAACTGATAAAAATAACACCGAAAGATTTTGAGGGGATAGATTACGTTAGAATGATAATGCAAAGAATACATAAAAAATATAAGATAAAAGAGAGAAATGAAGAATTAATTGCGCGTTAAATGCTGGCATATTTTGAAGATTGTTTAGGGGTGGGAGGAGAGAAGCTCCACCCCCTAAATGGTAAAATATTACCATATCTTATGAAAAAGATATTAAAAAAAACAGAAATACACGGCCCTCGTACATTATAATTATATGAGATAAGGAGATTTAAAAAAAAAAATAGGATTACACATTAAAGAATCTTGAAAAAACTTATTACATTATTTAAAAGCATGTGAGCTCCTAACACAAATGTACTTCACCTTTTTCTACGAATTTTAAAAGCTTTTACTCCACCATATAATTATTTTTGGACTAAGATTTTTTTTTTAATTTATTTATTTTTCATTAAATTTGCCTCAGTGGTGTAACGCGTCAAGCAAATGTGTTGGCGTTTATTATATCTTCTTGTATTATTGATACTTGCTTAACTTGACAACAGAAGAACTCTAGGTCACTGCCTTTTTAGTCGTTGTTGAGGCTCATCAGGTAATAGCGAGGAAGAAAGAGATAGAACGAGTGGATTTGGACGCTTGAGAGTAGAGGAATAAAATGTTGTGTACTTGTTTTGTATATGTGATTTTACTTTTGGTATGTTCATTTCTGTGTGTATGAAGTGATTTGAAATAAACCAAGAAGCATTGCCGATCTTACGAAGTATTTTGGATTGTATGGTTTGAATTTTAAGTGTGTGTGTTGTGAACCCCAAAGTTCTGCTCCGTATGTCCAAATAGGTGTTAGTATGGTGGTGTAGATTAGCCGCTTCTTTAGTAAGTTGAGTAGAGATCTATAGTCCAAAAAATATGGCATTTGTTTGCATCTTCAGGTCAGTTCTTGTTTTGTTTTTTTTAATTTAATGTGAATGTTCCAGGTGAGTTTTTTGTCCAAGTATAGTCCGAGATACCGTACATGAGTTTTTGAGAGAATTGGCTCATTGTTGCAAAGATGTTTTAAAATTTAATAATGATATCATTATGTATTAATTAAATTTATTGTTATTAATTTAAAGTATTAGTCCTAAATTAAGGCCTGGAAGACCAGTTTGAAACTATGGGGCCTTTCCCACGGAAAGGTTTTTGTGCAGTCCTTTTCGGTTCCTTCAGTTGCAAATAAAAAGAATACCTGATTGAAAAAAATGTCAGAAATCAATAAGCTAATCCTAAAAAAATTTGCAAAATTATTTAAAACCACAAAATATGAAAGAAACAACTATTTCATTCATAAATTTATCATCCGATCAGTTTATCACAACTTTGCATCTAATTATAATTTTTTTTTAAACTAAACTGGAGCAACAACAATTTGACGACGAAAATAATTCAAAATGATTTTCTCACTATAAATGGATAAATTCAAAACAAAGGAAAAAAAAATTAGCGATAGACGGTCTAATTTCAATATTCATGAAGGAGTAATTAGCGATACTGAAGCAGCACAGGTCGCTATTAATTGAAAATTCATATCGCCATTATCAATAATTCATAGGAATATCAAGGGAAACAATTGGGCCAGGGTAGGGGGCTCCCAAATCGCTCCATCAGATTATCTTTAATCTTTCATCCTTAAATTAACGATAGTGAGCAGTAAGTGACGGGGAAATTGCTTATCGATAATAATACAAATTCAATAACGAGGTTCATTTATTTTATGTTATTATAAATCGTGTGTGAGAAAATTTAATGAAAAAAATACTTATATGAAAGATTCAAACTACGTAAAATTTGACTTGTTGACTTACAAAAATGGCCTACAAAAAGAAAAATCATTTAGTCCGGCAGAAATATCCGGGGAAATGGAAAGATCTTATCAGATCAGACTCCTCAACACTCCAAACGCATCCTGTTTATATTGAGCGGCAAGCAATAAATATTCCAACAAGGACAGAGAAGAACATGAGAACTATTATATTCCCATTTTTCACAGATTTTTTCACGTTAACATTCAACTTGTCTATTAATAAAAAGTTAATGTTTTGTAAAAGTCTGAGAAAACGCACAGCGAATGTATTGTTTGCGCCAAAAGTATTCAAAGTATATATAAGAAAATAGTAGTTTTATCTTTGCAATCGACTTTAAATAGGCATTGTATAACACAGGAAAGTTGTTTCAAAATCAAAAATAATTTCCATATCGTAAAAATATTCCATCAAAATTTTATACATGAGAAATATTTTTTGGAAGATTACGTGTCTTGTGCAAAACCATAAAACCTTCTAATTAAATTATTACGATACAAAGCAAAAGCACCTTTGTACATGACTAACAAAACTCTAATAATTCAGCTTCACATGCCAACAGTTGGCAAAATTGTAACGACCATTTGGTGATGATTTTAATCAAATTTAAATGGAAATACCAACAGCTTAAAAATAGACATGGCTACATATGATATTCTTCTAAATATAAAGAGGCTCTGGATGGGAAATCTTTTTTTTTTTTTTTTTTTTTTAATAGATTAATTAACACTAAAATAAAATGAATAAAGTATTTGTATTTATTTATATGATAATTTTATTCACTAACCAGAAATTCTATTTATTTAAAGAAATATTTCAATCCACATTTCAAGTATTTAAAAATGAGCTGGTTCATTACCGCAAAATATTATTAACTACGCACCTTTTAAACCTATGATCTTTTTCATTATCACTAGTCCATAATGATTTTGCTAAAGCTGATTGAAAACTAAGATAAAACATCTGAAAAATATTAGGAAATCCTGAATTCATTAAATCAACCTGAGCTGAAAAAAATACTTAAGAATCAGTAAGGAGGAAATAAGGAAATAAAAATAAGGAGGAATCAATAGTGTCGACATCAAAGGTTACGTCAGAACTGCTTTGAACATAAATATCCAAAAAAAGATGATTGCGCTGACCACAAACATGAGTCGGATGAAAAAAAAAACAAGAACAAAAGAAATAACAAGCAAAGAAGGGATAACAAGCAGTGAAATCGAGGAAAACTGCGACACAACATGATACAAATCCTTACGTTACTGAACTTACATAAGTAACTTAACCTTCATACGTATTCGTTAATATCAGAAAAATACAACAGCGGTTAATTTATTTCATAAATAATAACTCAATATTTATTATATGTATAATGCATTTATATATTATTTGAAAAGTCGGCAATAAAATATAAAAAATATTTTTTTATTTATTTCTTAATGATATTTACAACTGTATTAAAGAAATACATTTAGTGAATTTGAACATATAGATATAATGACGTGAAAAAACTTGTTGAGAAACTACCCAATGACAGCACTATAATAATATGTCTACATTAGGAGATCACGCGGCCATCTTCTCTTCAGACGCCTCGGAGGCTTATCAGGAATTGAAGAGGAAGCAAGGTTAGAAAGGAGAGGATTGGGATGATTCTGAAGTTTACTATGGAAGGATAGGTACCTGGATTGGGCCAGATCTGAAACATAAGAAACATTAAGGTCATAATGGATGGTTTTATTTGTAACCAAGTAGGGAGCATTGAGGATTTTGGATTGTAAGGATTGGATACGAGAGGAATGCGATGGTTTGGTGGAGCCCCATAGCTCGAAATATAAAAAATATGTTTTAAATCTATCTTTTTGATCCTGCTTGCGACCTTTCCACTGAATAAGTTCCAAACAACCAATTAAAGCAGTAAATTAATTTTTCCTGCGCAATTCTTATTTTAAGAAAGCCATACTGCTAAATAATTCAAATAAATAAATTAAGTTACTATAAACTGATAAATAGCTCAAAAAATAGACTGTACTCAGTAACTAGTATATAAATGAAAAAA